CTCACCCACCAGTACCCCCAAGTCCTTCTCCTCAGGGCTGCTCTCGAGCCACTCTCCACCCAGCCTGTGCTTGTGTTTGGGATTGCCCCGACCCACGGGCAGGACCTTGCCCTTGGCCTTGTTGAACTTTGTGAGGTTCACGCAGGGAGCATCATTTTTCTGAAAAGCCCTTTGCAGCATCTGGGTGGGGAGCCAGCACAGAGAGGGACATCCACGAGAGTTTTGAGCTCCGGCCTCCTTGCCTGCACCAGCCAGCGCAGGCTGCACTTCTGCAACATGCAACACCGCTCCGGCTTTTGTCTGAGGCCCTCTTTGCTACTGGGATAACCAACCTGCTCTGACTTCGGGCAAAAAATGCAGCTTGCCTCGCCCGTGGAAGCAGCAGGAAGCTCTTGAGTTTCGTGCACGCAAGGTCTGGACACGATTCATTGATTTCTTATGCAATTTCTTCCCCCCCACCTCAAGAGACTCAATCTCCACATATTTGTAGCCAGATCAGAATTCTCTACAAAACTGCACATACAGCAAACAAAAATCCACTCCAATATCGGCTGCTAAGGACTCCATTATATTTTGGCCAGCAAGCAAGAGCTTATTTTTCACAAGCACTTGGCATTCTCTAGAAGAGCAGCCCACCACGCGGGGCTCACAGCAGAATGCGTAACCGTCCTCAGAAAAATTTCGGACAACTTCTTTCAAGTCAGAAACTTGTGTTGTCACCAGTCACAGCTTCAAGCTGATGAGATTTCTAGGCTCGGATACATGACTGTTCAAAGTGATTTAAAAAGGAAACAAGAAAAAAAGATAACTCCACCGTGACTGCGGATCGAGCGTTCACTTACAATTGCTAACAGCGCGACTCCTGCGGGAAATCCAGGCTGTTGATCAAAACAACTGGAAAACTGCTGTCAGAAAGGGAATAACATTTTTAAGAGAAACCTCAGTCTGAAAAATACTTTTTGGATAGATTCCAAGCAAGTTTTCTGCCCTATCCTTTAACATGGCTCTTAGCCTTCAGGGATGCAGAAAAACAACGATGACCAAAATAACTATTCTCTAGAGGCACTGAGCAAGAACATAGCGGCAGAGACAGTCAAGACCATTTCTACCTTTAACAAAGCGATGTTTCTTATTATAGATTTTTTTTATTTTTTTTTTTTTTTACGGTTTGGAAACAGGATCATAAACATATTGAGACTGCAGTATTTGTGGACAGATATATAGTTCATCTGACAGATGTTTCAATCAAGTTAAGTACAGTCAAATGGCGAAAATATATATTTACATACCTGATTAGCCGCGGAGTGGTCTGTCACTGGTGTCAGCTGCACATATTGGACTTGGATATCACTCCCTTGGAGCGGGGAGCCATCAACACCCCCCGAGGCGGGCTCAGCAGAAGCAACAGCGATCAGCTGGGCACCCTGCAACACCTGCAGGGAAAGCAATGAGCAAGCAGCTTGTAAACAGCCCCAGTCAGAGAGGCACTACGAGCCACCTAACCTGAACCAGATGCAAACCCAACGACCATTAAAAAGAAACACGAGAAAACGTGTCTATCAGTAACAGTTGCTTTAAATCATGTGGGTTTCCGAGAGGACATGGTACGCATATGGAAAGACCCCCATACTAGATGCTCACCACATTTTGCCTTACGAGAGTCGTAATTCTGTTAATGATTATTGCAAAGCCTGAGAGAGCCAGCCTGAGCAGGTTCCACCAAGAGTGGGACGATGTCAACACAACACTATGGAGTTCAGGTTTTCACAGACACAGATCCAAGATACTCCTTCTCGCAGCCAAAGGCACGCAACTTTTGACAATTTATTACAGTCCTGTTTGTATTCCTATTGTATATGAAGGTGTAGATTTAAGAATTATGGCTAATTAATGCTTACTCTAAACAGATCTGCGTTTGACTGGGGAAGACTATAGTCCCCTGTAGGCTTCAAAACCCAAAGAACAGTTGAGGCATCTAAAAGTGCTTGCTTAAAAATGCTCCTGTGATTAGACTGATTTGAATTTACTTCTTGAAACACAAATCAGAATAAAATACATATATGTAAACAATGACAAGTCCCCAACCTCATTTGTAAAATTCAGCTAAAATACACATACTCAGTTTTAATTTCTATATGCTGTGCATGATGTATTTTTTTAAAGTGTGGTATTTGAACCACAGCGAACAAAAGACATCATTCAAAAGCAGGAAAGAGAACAAAGAACAAAAATAACGTTTTTAACAAAGGTTTTTCTGAACACAGTCTGATTTCTCAGCTGATCTGCGGGTGGGTGGCCATGCAGGAGTGTGTAGACCAGAATCTCTCTAGGGAGTGTGGGAGGCAAAAAGAGGTGACCTCCATAAACGACCTTTAGGGGTGTTGTCAGGATTTTATAGGGATCTTGGGTGTTCTGAGATACGGTCAGCATCGCACTGCAAAAAGATGCCACGTTTTGTTTTTACAGGAGTAAGTGAAATGCTCTGCTCCTATGGTATTTGTTTTGGAACTATACGACACATGCTGTCGGAACCACATCACAGTCCATCCTATTAATTACCTGCAGGTCTTAAATGTCTTTTTTTCTCATTTATTTCTGAACTACAAACTTCAGAACAACTGTAAGTGACTGAACAAGCCCACCATTCTCACATAAAATCTGTTTTACAACAAAGAAGCCTAAAACAACAGTACCAGCTTCCCCGGGGTACGGTCTGTTCTCAGCCACACACCTTCCAGTGCACTTCAGCAGAGCTCCCTTCTGCAGCACACGCTCCGGAGAAGACCAAGTAACTCTGCTAGACGTGACCTTCTACCACACCGATTCGATTCCTAGTGACAACCTACCTTTAGCATCCTGCCTACAAAAACAACACACCCCAGCAATACTTGCATAAAATACTCCTTGCTGTCAAATCACACCTCCCCATTGGCTTCATGCAAATGGTTATGTGCTTTTCCTTCTGCTGGATAAACTATTTGTTATCGAGCTTTCATTCACACAGAAATAGGAAGCATTTGTAGGATGTCATGCTGGAGCTGAGCTAGTTTTCACAGAGGTCAAATGGACAACACGCCAACATCAACATCATGTTCCGTCTGAACATGAGGAAGAACTTCTTCCCTCTGAGGGTGACGGAGCCCTGGCCCAGGCTGCCCAGGCAGGTTGTGGAGTCTCCTTCTCTGGAGATATTCAAGACCCGCCTGGACAAGGTCCTGTGCAGCCTGCTCTGGGTGACCCTGCTTCGGCAGGGGGGTTGGACTAGATGACCCACAGAGGTCCCTTCCAACCCCTACTATTCTGTGATTCTGTGATATTCTGTGAGCAGGGGTTGACCAACCCAGGTATTTATGGATATCCAATGACAAGGTCATAGACCGATCGCTGCTGCCCCATTCCCCACAACCAGCCAGGTTAAACCCAACTCGGTTAAGCTTAAATGTGCTCCGATCCCAATTCCAGACTGTAGCAGTGACAGTTACATACGCTGTGCTTGGTTTCCAGTTGTAGAGTTTGAAAAAATCGGATCAGTGAATTGGAGAAATAAGACATCAAACATCACAAAAATCACCAGTAGTATCGGTTTCCCTCTTTGTCACGTCCTGTTTGTGCAGCCCCCAGGGACAGGAGGCCTCAGCACTCAGCAGCGGCAGGGGGGGGGGCCGGCGAGGCAGGTTCACCTCCACCAGCGTCATGCCAAACTGGGTTTTCCAAACCAGGTGATTTGCTCTAAATTGAATGTTGCGCTGATGTGTTTATTCTCTACCAGTTGCCACCTTTGTATTTCTCCCTATAGCTAGAAAACACGTTAGGATGCTTGGAAGTCAGGAAAAGGCCATTTTTCCAAACTAAGAATCATTTTGCTTCTTTAGGCTTCTCTTCGTCCATTTGTCCATCATGCAAAGTCTACTTAATACATGCTTAAAATCACCTAAAAAACCCAGAATCTGTCTGGACTTTGAAAACTAAAAGAAGAACAATCTAATGCTGAAAAAGACTTCTTAATGTTTTCCACTTAATACATTCTAAAATTAATAGCTGTCTTCGATTTCATTAAACACTGCCTAGCTTGTTATTGCAGCATAACGGGCTATATAATCAGTCACTCAGCAAATGAGAAGAAAAGCAAGAACAGGGGAAAGATCCCAGTTTCAAATTCAACTATCTGACTGAGCTTTAAATGAAGGAATGAGCAACGAGCTCTTCTTCATATCTGCAGAGTTAATTACAACAGTCTCAATAATTATTTTGCAGTTTCTATTTGAATTACTGTACAGCTTCTGAAATTAAGATAGAAATGGGTGAGAGCAGAAGGGGGGAACTGCCATCTTTACACACACCCACCCTTTTTTTTTCTGAAAAGGAGCTGGAAATAAAGCTGTTTCTGCAGTCTCCGTGGGATAGTACCTTGTGGCTCATCTGCTGAGCCAAAGAGGATCAACCCCAGGTGCAGCTCAGCCCTGATCCCACTTCGCATGTCTGAACACCTCTGTTACACACGACACGATGATGACCTGCAGCGTATTAAAGATATCACTTAACGAACCACACTGTATTCGTAAGATAACACCATTTATCAAGAATCTCAAGCGTATCCAGATAGGAAAATCCAACTGAACTGACACTAAAAACAGCAGTAATTTATATTTTCTCTACTGGAGATTAAGACAAATTTATTACATTCCTGTCTTAACTTAAAAAATATGCTAAAAATTTGTTATGCTGAAGAACTATGACTGATATCACCCTTTCTACTTCTCACAAACAGCAGTATCGATGAGTATTGTGTTCAGGAAGAGCCCGACTCAGGCAAATAGTCTGGCATGTTTGGTTACGGCCCTTGGATTCTGCCTGCAATTGCAAACCCTTCTTCTTCTATAGTATTCACAGTGCCTTGTAAGAGCAGGTATCCCCATTTCCTTTAACAGAGGGGAAAAACCTCGGGGTGGATATGTAGGAAAGCCTAGCGAGGCTGCATAAATCGAAGCCATAAAGGCATCAACGGCGTTACGGGACACGGGATTCGCAGAGGAGCTGGGTAGCAGAGCCTTTCGCACATGGGGCAGGGGCAAGCACAGGGCTTTTCTTTGGCTGGTCACTTGACTTCCAAACCAACAATTTACCTTTGTAATTCTTACCCGCTCTTGACCTTACAATAAAGGAACTGCACTGAAAAAAACCCCCAATCCACCCTGAAAATGAACTTCTCTTCCCAGTTCCACTGGGCTTCTCTAACACCCTGCCTTCCTGGCCCAAAACAGGTAACAGAATATGGTTAAAGTGAAAAATAACAAACTTCACTTCTAACAAAACAGATTAATTCATGCTCTAAACCCACAGAACAAGCAGCGTGAAGTCACCCTTCCCTTTCACTTAGGCACAAAAGCACGGAATGGTGCTCAAGCTAACCCAGGCCAGCGCGAGTTCAAGTCAAAGCTGAAAACGATGCTAAGAGTGCCTTTAAAATTAACAAGTGGACCTAAAAATGTTGTTGTTTTCTTTTTAAATAATCCAGTGGAGTATTCAAAAAAAGTACATTCGGTTGCTTGCTGTCAGCAGTGAAAAACTGTCTTGACAGTGACAAGATTCCCAGCTCACGGAGCCGGAGCACTCTTCACACCCTTGTTGCACAACTATTTCCCCTGCCAGCACAAGCAAGCGCACAGCTGGAACCCAGCGACTGCAGTTACCACCACGGATACCAGCTTTTCCCCAAACAGAAAACCTAGTGAAAAAGATTCATCAAGAAAAATCCGAGCACTTTCGGAAATGTCTGTAAGATGTTTGAGAACATCTCTGATACGTACGTCTCCGAGAACGCCTGGCAGCTGCCAACGCTCTCAAGCACGTTCTGTGACCCTGCCCGATCTCTGCACGCCTGCACGTCCCGAACCTTGCTTGTCTCAAAGATTACCGCACGGCATGGTGACCCTGCTGGAGACAACTTGCCTAAATCAAAAAGCAAGCATGAAAGAGCCCCTTCTCTCACTATTCAGCGTAAGAAAATGTTCCCTAACACCTTCAGACAGAAATATAAACGCATTTCTATTAGTTTTGATTTTAAATGGCCCAAGAAATGCCAGAAGGAAAAGTATTTTGTTCGGTTGTTTAAAATGAAGTGTGAACTCTTGGCATGGTTTGTGAATACAGAACCACAGTCTCTTTGACCAAACATTTATTTTCCTTCAATCTCTAGAAGCTTTCAACGAGCGATGCAAGAGCTGCCAGATTTGATAAAAGGAGCTAAGGGACAGGCAGCTCTCTCCTCCCCAGCCACAGCATTCTGTGCCCATACGGACGCTGTCGGTCCCTCCTTACAGCACCGTTAACCCAGACCCAGGCTTCCCGAGCAGAACTGCAGCAGCCACACAGCCCCTTGCAGTGGTGTCCCACAGACCGGAACCTCGGCCTTTGGCTTTGGGTTTTTCTCCTC